GCGACCCGGCGCAGCTCGACAGGGCCGTGCGCGACTACCTCAAACACCTCATCGGGCAGGGCTACCACCAGACATGCGCCAACCGCATGATAGCGGCAGCAGCCTGGCTCGATCCGCGCTATGCGAAGACGGGGCCCCTCGACCTGCCGCTCTCGAAGCAGGCCGCCGAGGGGTGGCGCAACCTCGCGCCGCCTCGCAGCCGCGTGGCCCTGCCGTGCGAGGTCGTCGCCATGATAGTCAACTATCTATCGCATCTTCAGAGCACCCCGGAGGCTTTCGCGATTTGGCTCCTCTTCGAGATCTACGGCCGCCCAGGAACGATTCACGGGCTGCGGCTTCAGGACGTGGCGCCGCCGTCGGCGGCTGCCTCGGGGGCCCATCGCTACGCGTCGGTGACTCTGCGCGTGCAGGAGGTCGGTGACGTCTCGAAGACAGGCGAGTTCGACGCCTCGGCGCGGCTGGATCTCGACAGGCAGGCGGGCCTCGCCGAGGGGCTGCTGGCGATGGCGGCGGCGCGCCGCCGCGGGGGGGCCCCTGCTGCCGCGCCTCTCTTCGTCGCCAGCCAGCGCGAGGTGGCGAATGCCTGGCGCCAGGCGGTGAAGGCGCTCGGCTTGGCGAAGCTCGGGGCCTGCCGCGTCTGCCAGCTGCGCCACTCGAGCCCGAGCCACGACTGCGCGGCCTCGCTGAGGGACCTCGAGCAGATCAGGCGCCGGGGCCGCTGGAAGTCGCGGGGCTCGGCCAGGAGGTGCGAGAAAGGCGGGCGGCTGACCGGGCAGCTGCGCAAGCTGCCCGCCGCGCGGCGCCGGCGCGCAGAGGCGTGCGCCGTGAATCTGAGCCAGTCACGCCACGGCCTGCCCTCGCCAGTAGCGCCCGTTTGCTTCGCCCGCCAGTGATTTTAGATGTGTTCTCGGGAGCAGGTGGTTTCGGTAAAGCTGTGGCTCAGTTGGGCATGCCAGTGCTTATGAGGACACGTCGCTGGGGGAAAAGCAAGACCTTTCTCGGCCCTGTATTCCCTCGCTCGTCCTGTCCTAGATGCTTGCAGGTCGCATCAGAGGATGGCATGCTGGCGTTCCTTGCGCTGCTCTGACCGGGCGCCCGACCATGGCGTCGGGGCCCCTTCTGTTCGCTGCGACCTCCACCTCCTCGGCCTCCCCGGCCTGAAGCCTCGCTTACAAGCGATCGTTGACGTGTCCAATGTTCTCAACAGTTTCATCGCTACTCTAGCTTGCGTTAATTCTCTTTTCTAAAAACAGAATAGGATCCCCCCCCGGCGTTATCGGTCCCCCTTTCGGGTTTGTGAATCATATAAGATTCGGACCACATGTCCATCCTAACTATGGAATCGCAATGTCCCAGGCCAGCCGGTATCCCCCCCTTGAGGTTTCCATGTTTTTCCCGGAAAGGGCTTCAGGCCCAGGGTTCTCTTTTAGTTTGTTTCTCGCCGGTTTTGACGCTCAGGGCCCAGGAAAGGGCTTCAAGCCCAGGGTTTCCGGGGCTTCAGGCCCAGGCCCAGCGGATTTCTTTTGCGAGCAATAACGGGTGGGAAGAGGGCCGGCGAATTAAACATTGAGGATGTCCCTAGCGAAACGCTTGTTTTTCATAATTTGTTGAGGCTGTCTCGAGCGAGGCGCTTGTTTTGTGTTACACATTGTCCTCTCCTGGGGGCCTGAATTCTGAGGATCTCTCAAGTGGAATGCTTGTTTTCATGTGCCCAGGTCTTGAGGATGTCTCGAGCGAGACGCTTGGTTTCACGCCTCCAGGTGGCCCAGACAGATGTCTAGCATGAGGATTTGTTGAGGATGTCTCGAACCAGAGGCTTGTTTTCACGTGTCCAGGTCGCCCAGGCGGATGTCTAGCATGAGGATTTGTTGAGGATGTCTCGAACGAGACGCTTGTTTGCACGTGTCCAGGTTGCCAGGCGGATGTCTAGCATGAGGATGTGCTGACAACGTCCTGAGCGAAACGCGTGTTTTCACGGTTCCAGGTCGCCCAGGCACAGCACAGCCCTCGGCACGGTACATCAATATCGATACCCTTAGCATTGCAGCCTCGGAGCGTCCCGTGGCGAGTCCCCCCTGGCACGTCGCGCGGTGCACGTCCATTGGCGCGTTCCGTAGCGCGTCCCCTGGGCACGTCCCGCGGTGCGTGCCCATGGCACGTCCCCTGGCACGTCGCCTGGCGCGTCCCTTGGGACGTTCCGCGGCGCGTCCTCCTGGCATGTTTCCTCTGTCGATTAGTTCTGGGGCAGCTACCATCTGCTCAGGCAGCTCGAGCTTACGCTCCAGATCAGTTCGGTGAGGACTCGGATGCCAGGGAGGACTCGATCCACAACGCTACATAGAGCACAGTCGCGGCATGGCACATCGCAGTTCAGCACGGCGTAGCACAGCACAGCCGTCGGCACAGTACATCATCACCGATACATTCAGCATTGCATGTGCCCGTCGCCCAATCATGTGTGTTTGAAACGTTGCAATGCCTTTCATTTCTATATTCCTTTCTGGGTTCGTGGGTCGATTTTTTTTTGTTAATATATATATATATATTATTATTATTTTTATTATTATATATATGTATATATATAAATAATACATACATATATGTATATATTTATATATAGACACACACACATACATATATATATATATATATACATATATATATATATATATATATATATATATAATATATATATATTTTTTTTTTAATACTGTGCGGTGACATTTTTTGCTCAAGCATAGCATTTTTCACGCATCCCTTGGAAAACATGGGACGAAGTGCACGAGCGCGCGTCGTCGCGCGCGCATGCCGAAATCCTTCAAAAACCTTCGGTGCCGGAAGGATTTCGCAATCGAGTTTCCAAAGCACATAGAACAACACAGGGTTTCGCAACACTGATTTGCTAAAAAAGCTTCCGCGCGAGCTCTTGCGAAATCTTAAGAAAACCATAGGTTTTCCCGATTTTTGCAAAATGCTATTAAACGGCATGTCGAAATCTGTCGAACGCCCTAGCGCGTGTGCCGTCGCGAGAATCCTCTGCAACAAATGGGACGAAGTGCAGACGCGCGCGTCGTCGCGCGCGTATGCCGAAATCCTTCAAAACCCATCGGTTTCGGAAGGAATTCAAAATCGTGTCTCCAAGAAGCCTGCAAAAACCCAAGGTTTCGCAACACGGATTTTCAACAAAAGCGTGCGCGCGCGCTCTTGCGTCGTCGTCGTCGTCGTCGTCGTCGTCGCCGTCCTCCCTCCTCCCGCGTCGTCGTCGTCGTCGTCGTCGTCGTCACGTCGTCCTCTGTCTTTCCTCGTGTTCGTCGTCGTCGTCCTCTTTGGCGTCGTGGTCGTTTCCGTCGTCGTTGTCGCCGTGGTCGTTCTTCCTCCTCCTCCCTCGTCGTCGTCTTCGTCGTCCGTCGTCGGCGTCTCGTCGTCGTCCCTCCTATCGCGCCGTCGTCGTCGTCGTCGTCCTCGTCGTTGTCGTCGTCGTCGTCTTCCCTCCTCCCTCGTCGTTGTCGTCGTCGGCGTCGCCGTCCTTCCTCCTTCCTCGTCGTTCGCGTCGTCGCCGTCCTCCCTCCTCCCTCGTCGTTGTCATCGTTGTCGTCGTTGTCGCCGTCGTCGCCGTCCCTCCTCCCTCGTCGTCGTCTTCGTTGGCGACGTCGTCGTCGTCGTCTTCGTCGTCGTCGTCGGCGTCGGCGTCGTCGTCGTCTTCGTCGTCGCCGACGTCGGCGTCGTCGTCGTCGCCGCCGTTGTCGTCGTCGTCGTCGTTGTCGTCGTCGTCGTCGTCGTCGGCGTCGTTGACGTCGTCGTCGTCGTCGTCGTCGGTGTCGTCGTTGTCGTCGTCGTCGGCGTCGTCATCGTCGTCGTCGAGGGTTTTGCTAACCAAGTTGCGGGTGGGTTGGTGGGATGTTTGCAAAAGCGCGGGATGTGTCAACTCGTTTGTTAAAACCAGTCTGATTCATAAGATCCCGTGGAGCGTTGAGAACCCTAAGACGTCCAGGTTGTTGTTGCTTCCCCGCTTCAAAGCTTTGGCGCGCCGACGCGCTGTGGCCTTCCATACTACTTCCATGTGTCAGTGGGGCGCCCCGTGAAAAAAAGACACGGGGTTGATGTTCGGTGACCTCGACCCTGGGCCGTTCAGGGATTCTCGGTGCATAGGCTCCAGACGGGGGATTCGTTCTCGCGCCCATCGGCCCCACCAGCAGCTCCAGGCCTTCGTGCCCTGGGGCGGGTTTAAAACAAGGCAAGGGGCCGAGAATCCTCGTGAGTTCTGTGTGGCGCTTGCACGTCTCTTCCTTAATGCCGAGGTCCGGCCCTCGGCTGAAGTCATACAGAAATCTCTCGGTTAGTGTGCCTCTCTTTTCCAGCGTGGCCAGCTTGCTCTGCAAAACCGGGAGCATCTCTGGTGCTTTTGTTTCACTTGATGGCGGTGCCGCCATCGAGTGGCTTGAGCGTGTTGTGAACGGGGCGGCCTGCCTCGAAGGCAGGATCCTGGCGAGCTCAATCTCTTCTTGCACAGGCAGAAAAAAGTGCGCTCAGGATCATCATCATCATCATCATCATCATCATCATCATCATCATCATCATCATCATCATCATCATCATCATCATCATCATCATCATCATCATCATCATCATCGTCATCATCATCATCATCATCATCTTATTATCCTTCTCCTTCTCCTCCTCCTCCTTCTCCTCCTCCCTGTTTCTTGCGCGGCGCCGTTTGACTATTCGCCCCTTCCCTCCATCCAGACGTCGAACGACCTTCCTGCGCGCTGCCCGGTTTCATTTTGCTCCGCTTCGCGACAGGCCGAGCAGGGCAAGTTACCCTCAGGGATCTGGACCCGAGCCGACACCCGATTCGGCGAATGGAAATGGGGATCGATGCAATGTGTTTGAAATTGCTCGGAGGGGGCATCTGTCGGATGTGGCCCGGGTGCGCCCAGTTTGCCCTTCTCCCCCTCGGCCTCTCCCCCGTCCAACGCCCCGCCCCTCATCCTCGTTCCCGTCCTGCCCGCTGCCTCCTTTTCTGCGCTCGTCCTCGTCTTCCTGCCGCGATCATTGCCGCTGCGGCTTGGGGCCAAGCTTGAGGGTCCCAGGTTTGATGCGCTCCAGCATTCAGCACCAGGCCCCTCCCGCCCCCCATCGAGACGAGTTCGCACCGTCATTTTCCGTGTCCTTGTTCTCCGCCTCGTTCTCCTCCTGCGTTTTTCATTGTTCTTCCCCCTCCGTAGCCCTGTTATCATCCTCCACCCCGGCGCTGCACCGCGAGGAGGATGATTCTGGTGAGGCGCCTTCGGCGGCAGGCACGCGCGCGGTCGTGTGCCTGGTGGAGGCCCGGGTTTCGACGGATGGGGCCGAGGTTGTTTGATTTTGTCATGACGTATGTGTTGCATATTTGCCCGTTGTCGCAACCGCAATTGTAGGTTCTTCTCGTTTTGGCCGCGGCAGCGGGCGTGGGCGCGGGCGCGTAAGAATGAAGACATTCAGAAGCCTTCGGGGACCTCCGACAGCTGATGTCCTTCCGAACTGAAGGATCCACGCAGTGACAGAAACCAGAGCGCACGCCGCAACGGCAGGAGCCTGCCTCATGCTGGTCGACACGGGTGCATGTGGACATCTTGTGCGAAGGATCAGGCAGGCTGCGGGCCCAGTGACACCTCTCCTCCCTTTGGCAAACAGGAGGACGAGGAGGAGGAGGAGGAGGAGGAGGAGGAGGAGGAAAGGAGGAGGAGGAGCAGGAGGAGGAACAGGAAAGGAGGATGTTTGAACACAGTTTTGTGGACAGGATGTTGGATGCCGCAGTCTTCGACCCGCTGCTCTCCCCAGCAGAGGTCCCGGAGCAGTCGTTCAAGCACGTGGCGAGCCTCGCAGGCCGGGGGTTCCAGAGTGTGTGTGTGTGTGTGTGTGCGCACGCAAGCGCGCCACACTATCTTTTCTTTCTCGTTTTAAATGTTCTCTCTCCCTCTCTCTCTCTCTTCACTCTGTCTCTCTGTCTGTCGGTCTTCGTTTCTGTCCGTGTCTGCGTATCAGTGTGCCTGTGTGCCAGTTTGTTTGTGTGCCTATGTCGAGTTCTGTGTTTCTGCCTGCCTGCCTGCCAGTCTTTCTGTCTTTCTGTCTCTCTGTCTTTCTGTCTGTCTGTCTGTCTGTCCGTCCGTCCGTCCGTCCGTCCGTCCGTCCGTCCGTCTGTCTGTCTGTCTGTCTGTCTGTCTGTCTGTCTGTCTGTCTGTCTGTCTGTCTGTCTCTCTGTCTGTCTCTCTGTCTCTCTGTTTCTCTTTCTCTCTGTCTCTGTCTCTGTCTGTTTGTCTGTCGGGCTCAAACCAGATCGAGCATCGGTCGGGGCCCGACCGGCACATGCCGCCCAATCATCGGCCCTGCGATCAGGCCGACCCGCCCAGGCCAGGGCTCGCGCGTCGCCGCGCCATCGCCCGCGCGGGAGGTATGGAAGTCGAGGTAAGGGAGGCGGCACCAGGCACGCAAGCTGATAGCGGCCGGCGAGCGCCCGGCGATCATCCCAGTTTCGGGCAACGGTGTGGGCTGTCGACGTGCAAGGGGCATCTACGCGACCGGCCGCCTGCAGGTCCTGTGGACTGGTCTTCGTGACAGGCGAGATGTGCTTGTCGAGCCGGTCGGTTGCCGCTTGTTGAGGAGCTTCGGCCGCGTGGGAGAGGCGATGCTACGAGCGTCGAGGCGGAGCGAGCGCAGACGGCAGCACGCGAGGCTCCAGATGGAGCAGGAACCGCTGCTGGAAGCGCGCCGCTGGCGCAGCAGCAGCGCAGGCCCATCCAGCACCCAGTTTGGGACGACAGCGAGTTACCTGGAGGGATTGGCGGGCGGTCCTTCCAAGGAATGACTTGTTTACCACCAGGGCCAGTTCGCACGTGCAGATCACGGACAGACTACGCTTCGCCGTCCTGCAGGTGCGCTGGATGTCTTTGGACCTCCTTCGGCACGCCCGGGAACGCGAGTAGGCGAGGGATGAGTGGAAATTGTTCTTAGCTCGCAGGATCAGAGGCCAGCAACAGATGTACGCGTGCGCGGTTAGCTTCCCCTGGAGGGCATTTGAACGAGGACGTTCGTGCACTCAAGATCGCGGAGGGCGTACATGTACACATGTCGTTGCTCGCAAACAGGAGAGCAGTGTGGAGCCAGCTGAACCTTGTGGGCACTCCCGTGCCTAGGTACCAGGGCACTGACGCATTCGACTCTGTCCAGCACGTCGCCACGACTGCCCAGGGGTCTGCTGAAGCCGCCGGCTCTCGCGGCTCAGCCGCGCCGCGCCGACGATGTATGGGGGCCTCGCCGGCCGTGCCGCGGCCGCCGCGGAGCGGCCGCCGCTGCCGCGGTTGCGGGCGCCGCCGAGGCCCCCGGCGAAGATGGTTGACCAGATGCAGAAGCTGAGCCTTGGCTCGAGGAAGGCGCCGACGAGGAACTGGACCCAGAGCATGGCGAGCGGTCCGAGGCCCCCCCCCCCCAGCTCGACGGAGTTTCGGCGACGCCGAGGGGAACGCAAGAAGTGGCGAGGGGGACCTTGCCCTGCCCCGCCTCCTCTGTAGGCAAGTTTCAGTTGGTTTCCAAGCAGTCACGTTATTGTCAGAGTTGGGTTCGCCGAGTTCAGATGTGGAAGGCGCGAGCGCCGCCCTGCAATGACCTGGCAGACGCGGTAGCGGGCGAAGGCGCTGACGTGATCGAGTCGCTGGGCGGCATTGATCTGATTCAGAGCCTTCTGTCTGTGTTTGACGAAAAGCGGGTCCTACAACTGGGTGATCTGATGGAAACGAGGAGGCGGGGCGGCTGCCATCCGAGCTGCTGACCGCCTGCGTCGCTCACTTCGAAGATCTGGAGATGAGATCGTGCCAAGTTGCCAGCGCAGAGAGGACAGTTTGGAGCTTTTGCTGGCTTGGGCTAGGGCAGGCTTTTACTGAGTCGATTGAGTTCCCCTTGTGGATGATGATGATGATGATGATGATGATGATGATGATGATGATGATGATGGCGATGACGGTGGGTGGTGATGGAGGGCGGCGGCGATGGTGATGATGCTGATGGTGATGATGATGGGGGCTTTCGTAAATCATATTATTCCGCCCCTCGTCATCATCGTCCTGCTTCATGTCCTCGCGCCCCTCGGTCGCCCTCTTTCTCCTCCGCGGCCGTGGCCGCGTCGGCTCGAGCGCCGCGGCAGTGTCTAGCGGGCCGAGCCGGGCGCCGCGCGCGACGCCGGCCCCCGCGTCAAGCCGGGCGCCGAGCCCGACCCCGCCCTCCGAGAGCCGTCCCCCGCCCAAGTCCGAAGTCACGTCGGACTCTGTGTCCGGGCGCGAAGTCGGACGCCGGCGCCGACGACTCCGACCTGGGCCCAGGTTCCCATCGCCCCGAGACAGAGTACGAAGTGTCCGACGTCTCAGACGCGGGCCCATGTTCTCATCACCCCGAGACAGAGTACGAAGTGCCCGACGTCTCCGACGCGGGCATAGGTTCCCATCATCCTGAGACAGAGTGCCAAGTGTCCGAAGACGCCCGCAGCTGTGACAGTAAAGACTCGTCTTCCGAAGGCTCGTCCTCCGATCGCGAGCGCGGCTCTAACAGCGAAGACTCGTTGTCCGAGTCGGCCGCGGCTGCAGCGGCGAAGGCCTTCCCGAGCTAAGCCGTCAAAAAGGTCGGCCTTGGCCCCATGGCCCTGGCGGGGCGCGTCGCGGGCCGCGACTTCCCAGCCCGCGTAAGGGCGCTCGGCGCTTGCCGCGCGTGGAAACGCAGGTCTCAGTGGGGCGCCTTTTGCTCTGCGACGAATCCAGTGCCGCGGAAAAATATATTTAGGATAGGCAGCGCCAGTGGTGGAATTGTAATCTGTTTGTTTTGCCCGGCGTTGGAGGGTCTGCGTTGAAACGCCTTGGGCGAAGGCGACGGGGGCTTCCTCCGTCGCGAGGATCTCCTGCGCCGCGCCGAGTGCGCGGAGCACTGGGCAGCAGAAGCGGCGTGGAAAGAGCGGCGTCGAGCGGAAGGCGCGCGCCAGGGTCTCCCCAATGCAGCGTTCCCCACAGCGGCCGCAACATCTGCGCCGGCTGCGCCAGCCGCGGCGCGAGCGCCTGTCGTCGTCCGCGCCGCCGACCCGCTCCCTGGCTGCCGCGCAGCGGTCGCTGGCCGTGCTATCTTGGAGACGTCCAGCTCCTTCGAAAGTTTAGATGTGCGGCGGGGTGCGCTCCTCGGGGGCGACCGCGCAGCTTTGGGGCCGCGTGGGCAGCGCCGCAGGGCGGCGGCCGCAATTGCTCAGTGCGAGAAGCTCGCGACGCAGAGGATATTCAAATATGGTGTTGTTTTTCGTTTGGCCGCGGGCGGTCTCGGTCGCGCGTGCCGGGTCGAAATTGGCACCGCGTTGTGGTCTATGCCAGAGTTTCTGGATTCCCTCCCGAGCTACGGTCTCAGGCAGGCTGCCCTGAACAGCTGGGCCCCAAAGAGCCCCGGGATTGCGACGGCGGGGCTTCCGTGCTTGAGGGCTGCGTCCGTTGCGCGCGCCAGACGGCAAGCGGGTGGCCAGGCGTGGACTTGCGCGGGCATGTGCGAGAGGAGATGCGGGCATGGTGCAGCGATTGGGCGGGTCTAGGTGCGCCCCATGGCTGCAACGGCCAGGTTCCCTCGGCAGTCGTCTTATGCCTGGGGCGAGTCGCATTCGGCCCGGGAACTTCTGGCCAATTCAACGACAGCAGATGGTGAAATCACGATGACGAACATTCTGCTGACAACGGGTAATATGCCGCCAAGTCTGACCAAGTTTCTGACTGCGCCCACCGTGCTCCGAACCGCGGGGGGGGCACAACAGCTGGAAGACACTCTTGCGTTCGTCGAGAGCTTCGACCGGGCCCCCCAGCGCGTCAACAGTCGCGCGGGGCCCCTGGCGCGAGGCCCCCGACGTTGGAACGTTATTTTCAATGCGTTCGGAGAGGGGCCCGAATTCTCGCCCGATCTTTCCTGGGAGGACTCGGGGGCGAGAACGGTTCGCGCCTGCTTCTTGGGTTTGCTGGCCGACCTTGCGCGCGGGGCACTATTCCTGAGTCGTTGCCGGGGACGGAAGCAACCCCGGCGCTGCAAGCGTTCAGTCTAGGGTCTAGTGTCGCCTCGTTCTCCTCAGGGCTGAACGCGTAGTTCGTCGATGGGGCTATTTTGGGCAGCCCCTGCAGTTGTGCGGGTGTCGCCCTGAAGTGTCCGCGGCAGACGTCGCGCTGCCCGCGCGGCCGCGGCGTCCAGACTGTGGGCCCCGGCGATTGGAATGCGGGGCCCCGGGCCCGCGAGGCCGTCGAGGCTGCTCTTCGACGGGCGCAGGCAATTGTGGCCAACGTTAAGGGGGGCATGCAGCTTTATCAGCCAGAACATTCTTGGTTGCGCGCTTCTGCTGCATTTCGTTCGCGCCCCCCCTTTAGTGTCTGCAACAGGCGCGGGCGCAGCGGGGTCTGCGACAGAAGCCGAGGCCTGTTCGAGGCGCATCTGCCGGGGGGGCGAGCCATCTTGAGCAGCGGGCGATCGCCCAGCTGCGGCAACTGTAGGGGCGCGCTGAGGCACGTCGTTGAGACGGGGGCGCCGCGCGGCAGGCATGGGGCCGCGCTGCGGCGGAGTGGCTTGAGTTCGACGGCGGCCGTCGTCTCGTGGAGCCCTTGGGCAACGGGCAACGTGGAGCGGCGATTCCGCCGATTCTTTGAGGTGCATTGCCCCGAGAGGGCTAGATTGCTGGGCGGTTCCGCGGAGGAACGCACGCTGGTGGACCAGGCGCCCCCCGGCAAGTTGCCGCGCGCGTGGCCGGGCCAGCGGGGGCGGGGCGAGCCCGCTGGTCGTTGGCGCAGGCGTGCGCCCCAGCTGCATGGGCGCTCCCAGGGGGGTCGGAGCGA